AAAAAAAAAAAAAAAGGTTATGCAGAGGGCACAAGCTGGTCCTCCTTTTCATTTAATTACCAACAGCTTTTTAAATTTATTCAGGTGGCATATCCACAGTTCTCTTATACATGTAAATAGTTCTCTTGTACATGTAAAAGGATATCACGCTGCCAAGTTCCAAAACAACACAACAGTAACAATACATTTCTGGTTTACTTCGCAGAGGACAAGAAATCAGAGAGCTGCTAGTAGAATTGGAATAAGTTTAGAGCATCATCTACGAAATGAATAAGAACCTATGAACAAACTGTGCTACGCTTGGGAACCAGCGTCAATATGTAATTTGTGGCGGCAGACCGGATCTACAGCTAATCATGACGCGCATCGTAAGAATGGAAGATGTACACGCGTCTGGTTGCGCATGGAAGTAAGGGAAAGGGGAAGGGCGTACCAGTTGGATGCTCATCGCTGGCAAAGCGCTCAACGGAGAATTTGCAAAGGGCGTCCCGCTCGGCGATCCGTCAGTGTGGAGAGACGAACCTTGTCGCTTGGTGGAGCCGCCAGTCCGCCACTAACCCTAGCAAGAAAGCAGGGGCTGAGGTGAAAAATATGAAATATGATATATGAAATATGAAAATATGATAGGTCAAAAATGCCCTTATGTTATAAAACGATTGTTTTATCGTTTTTATTATGTTATAACGACAGTAGGTTCATTATTTTTCTTTTATTAGAACTTGTTATATTTTAATTCCTAATTCTTTTCTGATTTCTTGAATTCTATATTCAAGTTGGTTTATCTTCCTGTTTTCAGGTAAGATTATTGTTTGAGATGTACTTTCAATACTCTCTTTTTCTCGCAATGTTTGAGGTATTTCATACCCGATTGCTTTCTTTTTAAAAGAACCTGTATTAGAAATTTTGAAATTTCTAACTGGTGCTTCAAGTTTTAAAATAGGTGAAAATAATTCATCTATCTCAATTTTTTCGTTTGGCTTAAAACTTAAGCTATGATGACTATTAGTCAAAGCATAGTGAATTCTCCATGTTACCGAAAAGGGGTGATTACCACTTCTCATTATTTTTTCTCTTAAGATTTTCCAACACAGAGTGATGGATTCGTCAAGGTTAGTGCCTTGTAAGGACATTCCAACTTGGTAATTTAAGTTAAACTTAATTTTACCATATTTTAGATTTCCTAAACCTTCTGCAATTAATGCGTATGATTTAGTGATCATTCTGTTGTCTTCAAGTTTAATGGACATAGGTGAGTCTATCCCTAAACTGAAGGTTGATTTAAGTATCATCTGAATAGTTGATACGTGTAAATAAGCAATTTTGCTTTCTATTTCTGTTTTCAGAGTTTTTTTAGTTCTGAAAATTTGTTCTTTACAAATCACAGGTATAACAATGTTTCCCTGAGTTTGATCCGTTTCTATTACTTCTTCTCCGGTAATAATTCCATAGAAGATCTCGTTTTTTCTTAAGAAGAAATTATTAATTTTCTTTAGCAGTTTTTCTTGAGAAAAGTTATGTTCTTTGGATAAATCATGGTCGATTTTTCCAAGTTTCTTTGCGTTGATTAAGGCTTCAACAAGATAGCCTGAATTCTCGCTTTTTGTTAAATAATCAAATTGATTATCTGCTATTTCCAATTTAATAATTTTCTAAGATGAGTAGAAAATATTCTTTAACCGTGTTAGTTAAAGGAAGTTCTGCAATGGATATTGCAAAATTTAAGTGTTCTACTCTAAGTTGATAGAGTTCTTTTAATTGTTCTATGTGACTAGAACTATAATTCCTTTCGACTAATTCCAGCCTGATTTCATATTTTCGTTTTTTCATTTCAAAAATTCTTTTCCAAGTTAAACCTGGCATGAGGTTTTCTTGATATTTCTGTTTCTTATTTCTACCAAGGATTTTTAGTCCAAGGCTCTGATACCAGTTTAAGAGGTACCTTCTCTTTTTCCTTTCTTAGAGAATAATTTCTCATTTTGTGGAATAGTTCAGGAATATTAAGAGAAAATACTCCTTATTTTTTGTCGAATATCGCTTCGATTAGCGTCCAAATCTAGTTTCGTCTAAAAACTGTATTGTAGCTTTAAGCTTATTGTTTTGTTTTTTAATTTCAGGATATATATCTCCAAAGTGACAATCACAATTTTGATAAATCCTTATGTTTTCTTCTATACTAGTGTACCAGCTAGAAGTTCATTAAGTTTTTCAACAGCTTCTTTCTTTGCTTTTTCTAGAAACTTTATTTCGATGTGTTCTACTTCTCATATAACACTTAGCCTTATAGGACATTTTCTTAGTTCTTTAGAAATTTTAAAAATTTCTTCCAGTTTGACAGAATTATTACCTGATTTCTTCTGTAGTTTATCTGGTTCTGGGCATCAATACCCCTTCCTTCCAGTTTGTTTGGTTGATGGGTCCACCACGGCAATCATCTTCCGCCTTTTGTACTTTCTCAAGTCCAAGCTTAACTCCAGTCGCTTTACCGCCTCAACAGGACTTACTCCGACGAGTTTATAGCCTCCAGAAACTCCAGAGATGTACAGGCTTGATGCCTTGGATTTTTCTTTGACCTTTACTGGATCTGGGTTTTAGAACTTTGATGTTCTAATTGTTTGAACCTTTAAGGTTCTTTTTACAATATTTTCATAAAATTTTATTTTATTTCAGAAAAGAGATTACAATAGAGAGATGATTTTTTGGCTATTGATTAGGCATGCCCTTCTCACAAGCCGAGAGGTCTCCTTATATAGGCAAAGAATCACCTCCTAAACTTAACAGCTAAAAAAATAATTATGGCTCGCAGGCCCACACTAAAGTAAAACGCGTAAACAGATAGTGGTGGAGACCACAAAATGCGTGAACATTATTACAATCTAGCTGTTGATGAGTCAGCTTCTCAATTATTTAACAAACACTACATCGTGCCTGTCTTTTTCAAGGATGCGTGTCTTCTCATTGTGGTGAAGAGGATAACGTTCCTTGTGTGTTCTGGCTCAGCATGTCACATTGCGGGGTCCAAAGATTCCTTATCTTCTGGTCCTTCCGTCAGAATCTGGTTGCGGGTCTCTTTCGCTTTTTTGCTGAGTCCTTGCTGTTGCTTTCCGCTATTGGATTCCAGCTGTTTCTTCTGACTTTTCTCCCTTTCGTTTTCTACCGTTGCTACTACTGCATCCAATAATGAACGCGTCTCTACTCCGCATCGGGTTTTCTTCAAGAGATTAGATTTTCAGTTGTCGATGATAGCCCAGTCTCGGCGATCGACGTTTTTGATAAAGCCACTTACTATTAGGATTTTCTCGTTAAAAAAGTTGACTTTTATCTTGCTGCTGGGTGTTAGTTTTTCTAGAGCTTTGATGATGGAATAGAACGAGTCGCTCCATTCCAGTTTTAATTCATCCTCAGACGTTCTTTTCAGTTCTTGATTAAGAACATTTGGAGGACGTATTTCACCACAAATTCCCATTTGAATCAAATGATAACCAGGAAATTGTTTGTTTTCTTTCAGTCTGGGATTGTGCTGCAAATTTCAAAGAATATGTTCTTTTTGTTTTGCAAAATTTTACATTTTTCCAGATAAAGACTTGCAGCCTGTTTTACCTTAGGAAAATATGTTAATTCCAACATTTTGTTGTCGGGGTATAGTAAATCCACGTATCCCCCGAGAAACATGTCTCTGAATTTTTCTGCGCCTATTCCAGGATACATAATTGCTTTTAATTGACCATTTTTTGAAATAGGGCTATTCCTTGTTCCAAAGTGCTGGCGTTTATTTCTTCGAACAGTGTGAACCATTTGTCTTTTGAAACAGTAATTTTAATTAAAGAACTGTTTATTTTGAATTTATTGAACTCGCCATTGATCTTGTTCAATATTTGATTTCCAGAAAAGATTCCCATTTTATGAAAAAGGGTTGTTCTTTCTTTAAATTTTCCTTTAACATTTTCAAGGATTCTTTGTGCTTCGAATTCGGATTTTGCTACATGGTAGTAGGAATCCGATAGGTCTTTGACTTTTTGGTAATCCTGATGAATACCAATTTTAGGTCCTGTATGGACTACGAACCAATTTTTAGTTCTTTCTTCTTCGGTAAACTTTTCAGTTTCTGTTTCAATTTTTCCCAGAGTTTCTACTCAGTACTTGGCTCTATTTTTTTGGGCTTCTGTCCTGTTTTCTCAGACTCGGCCTTTAATTTTACGATCTTGAGCTTCTTTTGCAATATTTCAAGCTCATGTTGTTTCTGCAGAATCTCTAATTCGAGTTCTTCGATTTGTAGATCCATTCTTGATCTTTTTCTGCTTTGTTCTTGCACTGGTTCAATCGTTACCTGCACCTGCAAATTCTCGGGTTAAACAATCTGCTAGACAGTTTTTTATTCCCTTAATATGTTCGACTTTAAACTGGTAATAT